AAAATATAAGGTCTTTTATAAGATTAACCCCAAATTTAATAACATAAAGATACATCACTAGTTTTTCTTTTTTCATATAAACATATTTGATTTTGTTTGTAATATACTAATATATATACTATATGTCTATATGTATTTCAACTAGTCAAAAAAGTTTATTCATCACTCACAATTTTTTTTTTTTACAAAATATAAAAGACTAATAAAAATTAAATACCATGAAATCTCAAAAAAGAATTATAATAAATAAAAACATATACTTTTAGTTAATCTCACCTAATCATATAAAATCCTACAGGAAGGTGTATATAATCTTTTATACAAAGTTAGTGAAGCAAAGAGAGTATGCATCCGTGAAGGCAATCATGATCCATCACAAAAGCAAATAGCAGAACAAGCTGGAATGACTCTTGAAAAGCTCCAAAAATTACGCTCTGTACAAAAGATAACTCTCTCATTGCAAAAACCAATCTATCCAAACGACACCACTACATACGAGGTCCTTATCTAAAAAGTCAAACCTCCTTCATTTGACCAAACTATATGTCTCTATCAACAATTCTTTATATATATATATATATATATATATATATGATGTTTGTTGTTAAAATGACAGGAGATTACTCCTGACACCACAATCGATAGCCCAGACACAAGTGTATCAAAGCAAGTTATGAGAAACCATATCTCAAATCTTCTAAGTGTTCTTAATCCAAAAGAAAGGAAAGTAATCAGACTCAGGTATGGAATTGGAGGTGAAGTTAGGAAATCGTTAGCGGATATTGGAGTCATTTTAGGGGTGTCAAAGGAACGGATTCGACAATTGGAAAGCCGATCGTTGTTCAAGTTGAAGCAGTATTCTGAAAGCCAAGTTTGGATGCGTATATAAGATTTGCTTATTTGATGTTTAAAGATTTTACATTACTAAGAGGGGAATGATGCCTATCTTTGTAAGGTTTTTGTATTGGAATGCAAGTTTTTCGGATGGGTTAGTGAGAAATGGAAAGCCTTAAGCAAGGTGCAACTGTTCTTGCATAGTGTACAAGTATTTGGAATAGAAATGAACCTAGCTTTTTGAATGTATGTTGTCGAACTTTGGTGTAACGAAAAGTTGGCTTCGGTTGAAGGAAAAAACACTTCCTCTTGGAAAATATAATGTTTTGTTAGTTGTGTTTAAAAGTTGGAGTACTTCCCATGTTGTAATTTTAGTATCCGAATTGGAGCATTTCCCTAAGAGTGTATTTTTGACTCAACAACGAGTAACAGAGGAGTGAGAGTGTAGATGACTTCCTCCAACTTTTTAATTCAAAATTTTTACTCGCTTTCAAAAATATATTCGTTTTTAATCAAAATTCAAAAGATTTACTCTCTTTCAATCAATATAAATACCAACATCTATCTATTTTTTTTTTTTTGAACAGCAAATAATTATTTTTGGTGAAGATGACTTCCTCCAACTTTCGTCCCAACCCTAAACTCCAAGAAGAAACAAGAATACCCAAATTGCAATCACTTCAAACCCTTCATCACCCCTCTTCTAAATCTCGAATGGATCACCCTATTTTTCACCCCTACTTTCCATTATCCCAGTGATGGTTGGTATTATAATCCATATCCTAACCAATCCCAACCCCAATTCTAATCCCAAAATTGATTTCAACCCATTTGAGAACACTCCAGAAACCCAATTCTAATCCTAATCCCTATTCCAAACTCAACCCCAACCCCAATTCCAAACTCAATCCCAACCCCAATTCCAATCCCAACCATGACCTCATATCGTACCCGGAACGGATTGCAAACCTGATGATGTTCGACCTCAATTGGAATCCAAGAAAAAGGAAAGAGACCTAGATTTCTGTGGACGTCAGAGGAAGAGAAGGTGTTGGGCATAGGTTGACGTTTTGGAAGACCTAAAAGTCGGTAATTAACAAGATGGACCAACTTTTTACCAAAAAGTTAAAAGGCGTTTTCTCGCTGAAATGATGCATGGAGATTATCTCGGAAAAAAAAAAGATGAAATTTACTCGAAGTGGGGGAACACAAACATAGTTGTCGTGTCGTTTAACATCGTACATATGAACATGAAGCACGAGCGGCAAAGTGGTGCGAATGATGTAACAATATTGAACAAAGTTCTAGAAGTTTACCGACATGATAAGGGGGTACAATTCAAATTTATTGAGTTTTGTAATATTGTGAAGGAGTCCAAAAAATAGGATGATATCAATACTTTAGACTCATACATGAGTGATTCTAAAATAACCAAAAACATCATAAACCTCATATAGCCAATCTTCGGATGTGCATCTCGGGGTAAATCTCAACAAATATGAGCTTATTGAGGTTCCAAAACCTAGTCACCCGATGGGAAAAGACCAAGGAAAATGAAAGGGTAGAGGGGTTGCACATAGTTCGAGTGGTGTAGATCAAATGACGAGCGGAATCGACAACATAAAAACTACTTTGGATCAATACCCGAGCATTGCAAAAAAGAAGAAAATATATTGTGACATAAAACTCTTAATGAAATATGTGACCCATTATCTCGAAGAGGAACATGAATTGGCATTAATTTATGGTGTATATGTTTTATTGTAGTTTCCATTTCAGGTTAATGAAATTTTTAATTTTTATATAAATTAGTTTGTTTAAATAAATGAAAAAAATATTGTTGCATGGCAAACTATACCCCCCAGAAATGGCAAGGTGTTGAAGAGTTGTGGCAAAAATGACGTGACGTCTACATGACATGAAAATTTGTTGTGATAAAAATGACGTAACGCCTACCCTAGCCTAATAATATAGGGAAGTTCATTACATCAACCCTTATAAGTAAGCTTTATAAAGAAAATAACCATTTCTTTTCTCAATTTATGAAAAAATGATCACTTTCTTCTCAATGCCTAATTCCATACTCAGTTCTTCAAATTTTGGAGTTCTTTTTTTGTAATTTTTTTTTCAAAGAAATCAATCTGAAGTTTTTATTTTCGAGATGTTTAATATCATCATTTTTCAATCAAATATCTGATTTTAATCTCTATTATTGTATATAGTTCTTATCTATTATGTTTGATTAACTTTTTGTTATATTTTAGTAAGAAACAAAATTTTTACTTGAAATTATGTAATTGTTCATCGGATTTTTCATTTTTTTTCCAAACTCCAAAATTTCAGTCTGAATGTCAGTCCGGAAGTCCGAAATCTAGAATGTCACTTCGAAATGTACTTATTTGTCAGAAAATGTAACATCCCGAGATTTTGCAGGTATTTCCGAACTCTACTCTATCATTACCTTGTCATTTATAGTCATTGGGGTTGGAAGTGTAGAGTCAAGATAATTTTAAGGGCCAAAGTTGCAACATTTGGGCAAAGAAGGAGCACGTTGCACGTACATAAGAGTACGCTAAGCGTACTAAGGTCCGCCTTAGTACGTTGGGCGTAAACTTGTGTACGCTGGGTGTACTAATGTCAGGAGGAAACCCTAATATTTAGGGTTTGGAGGCTATATAAACATCCTTATGGCTCATTTTTCTCTCATCATTCTCAGCCTCCATCTTACAGAAAACATTCCAAACCCTAGTTTTGTGTGTGAGTGTGAGTTGGTGTGTATTTTGAACTCTTGAAGGTGAAGACATTACATCAAGTAGTTGGAGAAGGAGAACAAGGCTATAGATCTGAAGTTGTGTTGTGCCCTAGAAGCTCCAGAAGGTAAAAAGCTTGGAACTTTATACTTGTATGTTATAGATCTAGACATTTTAGCTTTATGGAAGCATTCTTGTCCCAAAAGTCCCAAAATGGTGCATGTTATGTTTTGGACGAAATGAGCTGTCCTTTCAAACCTTAGAAGAGGTCCTAAGTGATAAAAATAAGGTCCCAATAGCTGAATGTGTCCCATGCATGGAATAAGAAGGTTTCAATGGATTAAGACCAAGTATTAAGAGTTTTCTGGACGTCCAAAGTGATAAATTTCGTGACTTTATGGGTCCTAAGCACGTTAGGTCTCTGGATCTGAAGTTTGGGCTTAAGTGCTTAAGCCATTAAGCACTTAATAAGATTTTGGCAAGACACTGCATACGCCTAGCGTAAATCCAGTACGCCCATCGTACTGGGTCAACCACCTCGATGGTGGTCAATGTCTGGACGAGTACGCCCCGCGTACGTCCTCTGTTGGGCCTTTGTCAATTGGGCTACGAGTTTTGGGCTGTTTATGGACTAATTGGATTTGGGCCTTTGCTGGAGTTCATGAATATATTGTTTTGGGCCAAGTTTTGATAATGGATCTTGGAATTAGGCCTAATTAGGGAGTTGGCCCAATTTGGTAAATTGGGCCAATAATGGGCTTTATAAATGGACTTTCAAGTTAAGGACTTGGCATTGGGTTTAGGCCCAGTAAAGAGGATGGACTTAATAAGTGGTGTGGACACTTAGTCAAGAAGGTTATTTGTGTATTAACTTAGTATTTTATTATGTGATAGTTCGGGATTCCCGGTGAGACATCAGACAGAGATTTGCAGTACTGTCAGCACTACTTGCGAGGTGAGTTACCTCACTATACTAAGGGGTCTAAGGCACCAAGGACGGCACATTGGGTATGATATCCTAGTAGTTGGTGGTATGTTGAGTATGAGATAGTGTTGCATGCTAGTTCCTATGCCAGTTATGTAGATCTGTAGGACTACCTCTGTTATTATTACATGATTACTTGTATGTGCATTAGTTGTGTTATATGTCGACATATTATGTGGGATGGGTTGAGGTGATACTGCTCCGTGCGGTAACCAACAAACCCGGGAGCATTCCAGATACGAGCTGAGGGCCGGGTAAGGCATGCCAGACTCGTACTGTGGGCTCGGGAGCATTCTAGATACGAGCTGAGGGAGACTCGTACTGTGGGCTCGGTGGCAATCCAGATGTGAGCTGTGGGCCCGAAAGGTAATCCAGACTCACATTGTGGGCCCAGGGGTAATCCAGTCCGAAAATCTGTGGACCCAGTACATGCTGTTATTTTGTATATGTGTTATGTGCAGTGTATCGGTATTTTGGGGGAACTCATTAAGCCTCGGGCTTACAGTTTCAGTCTATTGTTTCAGGTACATCAGGGGATCGTGACAAGGCAAAGGCGTGATCGTACAGCTCCTCATATTTAAGTTTATGTTTCTAGGATACTCTGATATTATACATTTTGAAAACAAGTTTTGTAATGATTAATGGTTTTGAAATGAATTTAAAAGTTTAAATTTGGCATGATTTTTATGGGTGTTACAAGTTGGTATCAGAGCCTTGGTTTGAGTGAATTAGAGGAACACTTGTGTGAATCCAGTCTCAAACCAAGGAAAAGATTTTCAAAATGATTTTCAAAAAGGTTTTCAAAATATCAAAGGAGGATGCATGGTGTACGATCAGCCAGAGCCAGTAAGTAGATCCCAAAATACCATACAATTATTTGATATAGTGATATGTTAGAACAACATCCTAGTACTAGGCTAGGGATCTTCAGGAATTGCATGATAGAATTGCCTGACTACATGATGCCTGCTAGCCTAGGGTTTTCTCTAGATGAAATTGACATCATTACTGTAGTTGCTTAGTGTATGCATCACAGTCGTACATAACTAAGATCTTATAGCCTGAGAATGTTTGGTTTGGCCTTATTTCCTGTTCTTGTTTGATGAATGGCTTAGGGTAGGATCAGGTATTCGAAAGTTTATAAGGTCTATTGTGATGTATGATTAGCATACACTAGTGCTGTAGGGTTGGTGGAGGTTTCATGGATGGGTGGGTTGTGAGAAACCATATCTCAAATCTTCTAAGTGTTCTTAATCCAAAAGAAAGGAAAGTAATCAGACTCAGGTATGGAATTGGAGGTGAAGTTAGTAAATCGTTAGCGGATATTGGAGTCATTTTAGGGGTGTCAAAGGAACGGATTCGACAATTGGAAAGCCGATCGTTGTTCAAGTTGAAGCAGTATTCTGAAAGCCAGGGTTTGGATGCGTATAAAGATTTGCTTATTTGATGTTTAAAGATTTTACATTACTAAGAGGGGAATGAATGCCTATCTTTGTAAGGTTTTTGTATTGGAATGCAAGTTTTTCGGATGGGTTAGTGAGAAATGGAAAGCCTTAAGCAAGGTGCAACTGTTCTTGCATAGTGTACAAGTATTTGGAATAGAAATGAACCTAGCTTTTTGAATGTATGTTGTCGAACTTTTCATGCTTTGGTGTAACGAAAAGTTGTCTTCGGTTGAAGGAAAAAACACTTCCTCTTGGAAAATATAATGTTTCGTTAGTTGTGTTTGAAGGTTGGAATACTTTCCCATGTTGTAATTATAGTATCCTAATTGGAGCATTTCCCTATGTATCTTTATCTCTAAGGCTAAACAGTATTTAATATCACACCACAACCTACAATATTCTCCATATTTCACTCAAACATTCTTCTTATTTCGGTGAAGATGACTTCCTCCAACTTTCATCCCAACCTTAAATCTCCAAGAAGAAACAAAAAGAATACCCAAATTGTAGTCACTTCAAAACCTTCATCACCCCTATTTTTCACTCCTACTTTCCATTATCCCGGTGATGGTTCGTACTATAATCCATATCCTAACCAACCCCAACCCCAATTCTAATCCCAAAATTGATTTCAACCCATTTAAGAACACTCCAGAAACCCAATTCCAATCCTAATCCCTATTCCAAACTCAATCCCAACCCTAATTCCAAACTCAATCCCAAGCCCAATTCCAAACCCAACCATGACCTCATATCGTACTTGAAACGGATTGCAAACCTGATGATGTTCGACCTCAATTGGAATCCAAGAAAAAGGAAAGAGTCCTAGATTTTTATGGACCTCAGAGGAAGAGAAGGTGTTGTGCATAGGTTGGCGTTTTGGAAGACCTAAAAGTCGGTAATGAACAAGATGAACCAACTTTTTACCAAAAAGTTACAAGGCGTTTTCTCACTAAACTGACGCGCAGAGATTATTGAAAAAAAAAAGATTAAATTTACTCGAAGTGGAGGAACACAAACATAGTTGTCGTGTAGTTTAACAACGTACTTATGAACATGAATCGCGAGCGGCAAAGTGGTGCGAATGATGTAACAATATTGAACAAAGCTCTAGAAGTTTACAGACACGATAAGGGGCCACAATTCAAATTTATTGACTTTTGGAATATTATGGAGTCTAAAAAATGGGATGATATCAATACTTTAGACTCATACACGGATGATTCTAAAATAACCAAAGCATTAGAAACCTCCTATAGCCAATCTTCGGATACACATCTCGGGATAGACCTCAACGAATATGAGCCTACTGAGGTTCCAAAACCTAGTCATCCGATGAGAAAAGACCAAGGAAAATGAAAGGGCAGAGGGGTCGCACATAGTTCGAGTGGTGTAGATCAAATGACGAACAGACTCGACAACATAAAAACTACTTTGGATCCTGAGCGTTGCAAAATATATATATATAGATATATATAAGATATATATATATATATATATATTATAGATATAATATATATATATATATATATATATATATATATATATATAATATTGTGACATAAAACTCTTAATGAAATGTGACCCATGAAGAGGAACATGAATTATAGATATATATATATATATATATATATATATATATATATATATATATATTAAAGCACATGAGAAGTTTCAACAGGAAAGTTTCCATGTTTCTAATTTTAACACTATATTTTTACTTTTTCTTAATTTTGTCACTAAAGTTTCAACAAACTTTTCTTTTTGCCCTTATTTTACTCTTCATATTTTTGCCACTAAACATTCACTTTTACTTCTTTTAAAACCCTTTTTCTTTATTCTTTTATATTTTACCACTTTATTTTACTTTTTTATAATTTTGCCACTAAAGTTTCAACAAATACTCCTCTTTATAGTTTTGGTACTTTATTTTTACTAATTTTGCCACTAAAGTTTCAAACAAACTTTTCATCTTTATAATTTTGGCACTTTATTTTTACTTCTTTATATTTTTGCCACTAAACTTTCACCCGTGCAACGCACGAGCCTTTTCCTAGTTGGCATTAAAGGATACAGAGCAGATTGCTATATATATATATATATATATATATATATATATATATATATATATATATATATATATATATATATATATATATATATATGGTTGGGTTCATTTGAGACCACCTATATTTTGTGAGACATGAGGACCAAATCTTAGCTCTTGATCAAAATTGATATGTGGTTCAGATTTCATAAAAAAAAAAGAAAAAAAGAAGCTGGCGGTGGCAGTTTGTGTAAATAACACAAACTTTGTAATTAACTAGAATACACGGAGGGGTAGAAATGTAACTTGGCACATTCACAAACGCATTCATATGCTTTTCATTTTCAAAACCATTTCATCGATCGAAAACCATCCATCACAAATTTGTTTCAGATTAACCCTAAATCGAAATTGAAAAGTCGAGCTCTTTATTCTGATTCTAGCTCGAATTCATCCTCTGATTCATACTCGAACACAAATCCTAATTGATTCACATAGCCAAAAACAAACAGAAAACCCTCGATCAATCTCGATTATCAACAAATTCTTATTCCTTCTAATTCGTAATTTCAACCTTCTTATTCAATCTCGATTATCAGCCAATCCTTCACAAAACAGGTATTAATTCAAGCTATTCAAATTTCGGATTGTGTAATTGAATCGCTGAATAATTCGGGTTGAACGGATTCTGAGTCGAATAACCCTAGTATATCAAATCAAAACCACAGATCATATCCTCGCTGTTAACCATTCTCCCAATTGAAGCAAAATGAAGCAAAGTTTATCAGAGAGAGATAATTTTGGTTTCTTGTTTATAAAAACCGAAGATCAAATCTAGAAGATCGCTAAGGAATCAAAATCATATATACAGGTTTTTTCTTTCCTTAATCTATCATCCCTTAAATTCACATAAACCCTGTCCTTCTAAATAGAAGGAATCAACGATCATTCAAAATCATAAACCCTAATTATGTTATTCAGATTGTTTCATTCTAGTTTTAAGAATCGACTTTAGAACTCATACCCATCAAAGGCTTTGATTTCATCTTTCAACAATGTCTTGTTCGAGAGAATCAGATTCCAATTCCCCTTCTCAATATAAAAGATGAATCATTAATGTCATCAGATAAAGTAGATAGAGTGATTAAAATAGCATGTACTGAAGTCTAGTCTAAAGAACCAAAGAGAAGTAACCGATTCAAAAAGAAAGGACATAAAGCTATTTTCCAACAAAAACTCAATATTTAGCTTTCAGAACAATATTCTACTACTTCTGATTTCGTATAGTACAATATCTAATCATTATGTTTTGTTTTGCATATGAGCTTCTAGTATACTTTTATAGTAATTCTGAGTTTTGTATGCTAGAGTTAGTATTCTATTAATTCTAATTTTGATGATGAATTGCTAAAAATTGAAATTGTTGATGATTTTTCATTGATTCTTGCTAATACTTATTTTATAATAGCAAAATTAATGAATAATTGTTGAAAATCGATCATTTACGATAATCCTTTGATAATATAGAATTGATGATGAATTGCTGAAAATAAATGTTGAAATCTAGAAATTCCTTATCGATGTAGGTAATAGAGAAAATGATCATGAATTGTTAAACATTGATGTTTAGAAAAGGACACATAGGGGTAATTATGACAATTTACGTTCTATCTGTATTCTAACGTCATTCAATATCTCTACAGGTCTTTCTTCATCCAAAATCGATCCCCTCTTCACATACGATCTCAAATTCAGTTGTGATCCAGATTTATGGATTCGAAACCCTAGAAACATAATTGCAATTGGATCTACCTCGAATTAAGCTCACTTACATCGTTTTCTACCCTTTTTATTCTAATTGATCATTAAGAATGGATCCTTCGATACAATCTGATTTTAATTCTACATTAAAACCCCCCAAAACCTTATTTTGTGATTTTGGATCTTGTGCTTCTGATTTCGATTTTGAATCTCCAATATCATCACCTTGTTAGTTTGTTTTAATAAACAATAAAAACTTCTTAGCACATACATATTTCTGCCAATCCTTCAGTTGACACTTCTTCTCATGATTCTCAAGTTGAGGAAGGATTCTTTTCATCAGGTAATAAAAGATTCCACTGACTCATCTTTGGCTGTTAACAATTTCAATATTAATAAATCTACAATCTATGCTATGTTATTATGCATAAATGAAGTTATTCACAAAATATGTAGAGATATTTCTGGCATTTGAAATATAATTTGATTCAAAATCTTAGTTTGTTTGATTTATCTTATTATCTAGTAAAAATCTAGTAAATAAATGTTTGATAACTTGATATTCTACTTATTATAATTTGATAAGTCATAACTTACTTCCTAAATTGATTTTAGATGTTATTTTGTTTGAGTAATTGGATTATCTAGTAAAAATTTAGTGAAATATTGTTTGATAACTTGATATTCTGAGTATACTGGTTTGATAAGTCATATGGTACTTCTTAATTGATTAAGATGTTACTTTGTTTGATTATATAGATGATCCTATAAAAATATTAGTAAAATAGTATTTGATAACTTAATATTCTAGGTATTCTGATTTGTTAAGTTAGGTGTTACTTTATAAATTTTATTTCAGATGTTATTTTATTGATCAACCAAATGTTACAGCTTACTTTGATAAGTCAAAACCATAATATGTTTTGAGAATTTGTTATTCTATCTTGACATAATTGAATTCATCTCTTTATGTTTTAATTCAATAATATTTTATTAAGATTTGGATTCTACATAATGTAGATTCTAAATCATCTCTTGTAATAGGCTTCAGGAAGTTATTATTCTATTTATTCAAATTTATGAATTATTTTTCTAAAATTTATATTGTAGTTATGGTTAGTGTTTGATCCGGATTCACTATAGTTGGGGCTAGAAACGAACTTCTTTATTGTAGTTTCGGTTAAATATTTTTGA